TGTATACTGAGTTTTATTTTATTTATTTATTTGTTGTTTTTTTGAGACAGGGTTTCTCTGTAGCTTTGGAGTCTGTCCTGGAACTTGCTCAGTAGACCAGGTTGGCCTCAAACTCACAGAGATCTGCCTGTCTCTGCCTCCTGAATGCTGGGATTAAAGGCAGCGTGTGCCACCACCACCCAGCCCTGTGTACTGAGTTTTAAATGACAACATTCATTCTACTGACATCTTTGTCATAGGGTTACTATTGCTATGATGAAACACCATGACCAAAAGCAACTTGGGGAGTGTAGTGGTTTGAATAAAAGTGGTCCCCATAGACCCAAGGGAAAGATACTTTAGAAGGTATGGCCTTGCCAGAGTAGGTGTGACATTGTTGGAGAAAGTGTGTCACTGGGTGGGTGGGCTTTGAGGTATCGGATACTCAAGCCAGGCCAATGTGACTCAGTCTCTTCCTGCTGCCAGATGAAGAACTCTCAGCCTGCACATTGCCATGTTTCCCACCTTGATGACAAGGGACTAAACCTCTGAAACTATAAACCAGACCCAATTAAATGCTTTCCTTTATAAGAGTCCAAAAAAAATTCTTTGGCTATTTATAAGCTACTTATGTCTCAAGATCTGAAAAGTGATAGCTATTATAATTCAATTTGTTTTGCATCTATAAAGACTGGGGTTCGATCCTTAGCTCCCTCCTCCCTGAAATAAACCAACCAAACAATCCATCAAAACACTACAATATTTGTGTCTATATCTATATAGTATGTGTGTGAATATTCTCTATATATGTGCCCATGCTTGCTAGTGTACTATCAATAATTAAGTTATTTATAAACCATATTATAGGGGCTGGAGAGATGGCTCAGTGGTTAAGAGCACTGACTGCTCTTCCAGAGGTCCTGAGTTCAATTCCTAGCAACTACATGGTGGCTCACAGCCATCTATAATGAGACCTGGTACCCCCTTCTGACTTGCGGGCATACATGGAAGGAATGTTGTACACATAATAAAAAAAACATATTACACAAAAAGACTTAACAAAGAGGAGGTTTGGCTTGAAAGTAGACTCAGAGGTGTACGGTAAACAATAGCACAAAGCAGCTGAGATGAAAACCAAATGTGCACTATGAAAATTATAAAAAGGCAGATTTTTGAAACAAGATAGGTAATTCTAAGTATCTTTTAGTTTCCAACATTGAATTTTACACCTCAAGGAATGGTAAATGGTATGGCTAGATAGAAGTCAAGCAGATGCACAATTATTTATTAAGAAAATTCAAAAGAAGGGGTGGAGAGACGGCTCAGCAGTTAAGAGTATTTGTTGCTCTTCCAAAGAACTTGGGCTTGATTCCCAGGGCCCACATGGAGACTCACAACTATTTGTGACTCCAGTTTGGGCAGGTCTAAGACCTTTTTCTGGCCTCTGAGGGCAACAGGCGCACATGATGCACAGACATATATATAGTCAAACACTCATATTCATAAAATAAAAATAAATAAATCTAAAAATGTTTTAAAGAAAATTCAAAATCAATTCTTGCTCTAGGGCAGCAGTTCTCAATCTGTGAGTCACAACTCTTTGGGGGGGGGTGTCACATATCAAATATCTGGCCTATCAGATATTTATATTATAATTCATAACAGCAGTAAAATTACATTTATGAAGTAGAAACAAAATAGTTTTATGGTTAGGAGTCACCAATGTTATCATTCTGCTGATCTTCCCTGCTACCTGGGTACCCTGTCCGCTCTCTCTCTGTATGGCATATCTGTCTGTCTCTTGCTCACTGCGGGCCTCAGGTCAGTGTCATGAATGGTAACAACCACAACATGAGGAATTGTATTAAAGGGTCACAGCATTAAAAAGGTTGAAAGCCACTGCACTAAGGTAAATTGTAAACATTCCCAAAGTTTTCCTCATCATGGAAAAGCCTGGCCACTTGTTATTTGCAGAGAACAACACACACTCCAGTTATTTTAAGAGCACTGGGTAAAACTGAGTAGAGTTGTACACCTAACACTGAGTAGAGTGTTAACCCTAACACACAGGAAGTTGATAGAGAATGACTTCAAGTTCAAGAATAGCCTGAGGTACACAGAAAAACTCAAGGTCAGCTTAGGGTACTACCAAAACCAACCAACAACAACAGAAAGAAAGGGGCTGGAGAGATGGCTTAGCAGTAAAGAGTACTGGCTGCTCTTTCAGAGGACCCATGTTAGATTCCCAGCACTCACTGGGCAGTTGACAAACTGCCAGTAACCTTACTTCTAGTAAACCTGACACCCTCTTCTCGCACCAGGCATGCACAAGGTATAAAACATACATGCAAGCAAACACCCATAGACATAAATGTTTGAAAAGAAAAAAAGCTGTTGAGCAGTGGTGGTGCACACCTTTAATCCTAACACTCAGGAGGCAGAGGCAGGCAAATCTCTGTGAGTTTGAGGCCAGCCTGGTCTAGAAAGTTAGTTTAGGACAGTCAGGACTGTAACACAGAGAAACCCTGTCTTGAAAAATCAATCAATAAATAAATACATAAATAAAAAGAATAGAATAGAAAATAAGTGTGCAAGCTCAAAAGTGAAAAAAAAAAAAGAAGAACACTATTGAATTTCACAAAAAACATAGAAGATGCTGCAGAGATGGTTCAGTGGGTGAAGTACTTGTGTATAATCTAGTGATAGGGAACTCACTGGCCAGCTAGTCTAACCAAAATGGTGAGGTTTACTGAGAGATAGTTTCAAAACATAAGGTGAAGGGCAATAAAGGAAGACACACAACATCAACTCTAGCTTACATACACCAAAACCAAACAAATAATATTAATAAAATGCAGAAGATGTAACTTTTAGATGACTGCCCAGAAGAGACACGGGGATAAAAGCCAATAAAAGTCTTCCAGACAGTGAGAAGTGGCCTGAAGAGAACAGAGCCCTCCTATTCCCATTAGCAGCAAACAGACATACCAAAGGCAGGGCTTCTAGTTTTTCTTTGCTGCTTTCTTTTGTTGTTGCTGTAATTTTGTAAGGTAATTTTTGTAGCACCCCCCTCTTTTCTAATGTTCTTTGTGTAATGTTTCTTTACAGGGAATGTCCAAACCTTGAGACTACAGTGTTCTGTGTTTAGAAAGAGTGTAACTCCAACAGCACAGATTTTATTCTCATGTAAATAGCCTTTTCCACAGTTGAACAGAGAGTCTTGCACCTATCAGGTGCTCCACCACTGACCTATATGCTAGCTCTGTTTTTGCATTTTCAGATGATGTGGTCTCAAACTGTTGGGCTCAAGTGACCCTTTTACCTCAGTCTCCAATACTGTTAGGATTACAGATGTGAACCACGTGGCTTATAATAAAAAGAGAAGACTGGCCTGCTGTGGTGGCTCTGTCTGGAAGGAATTATAGAAGAAATAGTGGAAATTGGCCTGGTCACTTCCCCATGCCCACTCAAATATCTGCTAAGTTGGACCACGCATGTTTTAACCTATGTCTGCTATTTGTAAGATGTGTTTAAATGGTTTTTTTTTCATAACTAGGGTAAAACAGTTGTCACCCTGAAAATTTTGAAACTTACAACATTATGAGCCAGGTGTTAAGGCTCCCACTTGCAATCCTAGTACATGGGAGGCTACAGCAGAAGGACTACCATGAGTTCAAGCCCGGAATGGGCTACATAGTAAGTTTCAAGCCAGCTGTGGTGACAAAGTAAAACCCTATTTCAATCAAACCAAATCAAACTAGACCAGATAAATATGATCACACTAGGAAGAACACCAAAAGCAAAAACTGAGAAGCAGGTGTGGGGGTGCACACCTATAACCCAGCACTTAGAAGGTGACAACTGGAGCAGAAGGAATCTTGGCTAGCTTGGGCTTTGAATCCCTGTCTCAACCAACCAACATAGCCTTAGTATTCTTTGAGAATCTACAATGGATTCCAAAGGATAATTCATTTTTAAAAATGTATGCATCAAATTCTATGAAGTCTTAAACCATACAATTATAGAGGTTACACATGTAGTAATTCTATTACGAAATAATACAGAAATGTCAGAGAAGAATCAAGTACAGGAAGAAATAGTTCAAGCTAGAGATAAGCACTTTGGGCAAATAAGTCATCATATGGAAGAACTAACTGTTTCATATGGAGAAAAACAATGGAATAACTAGAAATGATCTGGAAGCCCTGACTTACAATTTGAGTGTTATTGTGAACGTACAATGTTTCTCAATGAATATAGTCTAGCTATATATGGAAAAATAGTATATGCAGATATTTATTTATAAACAAACAACAAAATCCCATCAATTTTATTCTCAGGCTAGAGAAACAAGTCTTAAGTTAAACACATATTGTGAGAACTTAGTTTCCAGTTAGAATTAAAAAAATTCTACTTTATTATTATTTTTATGTGTGTGTGTGGTACATATGTCTGTGCAACATATGTGAGCCTGGTGCCTGAGGAAGCCAGAAGAGGATATGGAATCCCCTGGAACTGCAGTTACAGATGGTTGTAAGCCACCATGTGGGTACTGGAAATCAAAATGGGGTAAATCCCCTGGAAGAGCAGCCAGTGCTCTTACTGCTGAGCCATCTCTCCAGCCCATACATGACTCTTGTAAATAAACAAAACAATGAGTAAAATCCCAGCATTGCATTTTAGGATTTATTTCAATCAAAGCTCTAAAGCACAACATGCAAATGACCAATCCTTTTCCCTCTGGTATATAAAGGGACAAATTTCAAATCATCATAACATGTGTGTTTTAAGCAGGTGAAGAAAACACTAAAGGTTGACCTGTGGCAGGGTCACAACACTAACAAACCCCTTGTAACTGCACCTCCAGGACCAGAGAACAAGCAACGTTTGGTGGGTCACATAGATCACCTATCCAAAACTAGGGAGATAAATGGTCTAGGAAAGGAGGCAAACCAGACAAACTTAATTAAGGTATCAACTAAGTAGTGTGTTAAATAATGGGAAGAAATAAAGGGACTTACCTGCACTGCCAAGCTGTTTATAAAACCTGTACTCTAAATGAAGTTGTGGAGCACGTGATTTTATTGGTTCCTGAAACCCAAACAGAAAAACTGTGGTCAAATTTCAAGAAATGGGCTTTTTTTTTTTTCCAATCTTAGACTTTTCAGAATGAACAAGGCTAAGATCCTTTCATGTTTCTGAGATGATCTGCACATGACAGAATAGGCCCTTTATAAAAAAAACTACAACAACCACCACAGCTAAAACTCCTTGAACTTGTACACTCAACTAGGATGCCTACTATCAAAGCAGAAGGGTAGTGTCAGTACTATGGAGAAACTAGAACCATTCTGTGTTGCTAGCCTTAATTGAAAATGGTGCAGCTGCCATTACGTCCACTTTTCCAGCACAGGAGAAATGAAGTCAGGAAGAGGAGGTGTGCAAGGTTATACTTGGCTACATATCAAGTTCAAAGAAAGCTTAAATTACATGACAGCCCACCTCAGAGAACAAAATGAATGAACGGATGAATGAAATGAATGGTACAATAGAAAATGTAGTCAATCAATTCTACTTCTGGGTACAACTCAGAAGCATGTGCCACCACAAACGGTTTTATGTGGTGAGGAGAATCAAAGTCAGGATTTCATGCATGCTAGGTAAGCATTCTACCAACTGAGTTACAGCCCGGCTCTTCAAACATTTGATATGGGAGTGATTTCTTATTAATAAAGAAACTGCCTAGGCCCATTTGATAGGCCCACCCTTAGGTGGGTGGAGTAAACAGAACAGGATGCTGGGAGAAAGAAGCTGAGTCAGGAGTCGCCATGATTCTCCCACTTCAGACAGCCGCAGATTAAGATCTTCTCTGGTAAGCTACCTCGTGGGCTACACAGATTATTAGAAATGGGTTAGATTAATATGTAAGAGCTAGCCAATAAGAGGCTACAGATAAAGGGCCAGGCAGTGTTTAAAACAATACAGTTTCCGTGTAATTATTTCGGGCATAAGCTAGCCATGCGGGCGGCCGGGTGCCGGGACGCAGCCCTACTGCTCCTAATTCAACAAACATTTATCATATTTTTGTAACAGCAATATTTGAAAACTTCTATTTCAGAATACTCAATAAATTATTGTTATCTAAAAGAAAAAAACCAGTCCATTGACGGGTGGTACACACCTTTAAACCCAGCACTCGGGAGACAGAGGCAGGTAGATCTCTGTGAGTTGGAGGCCAGCCTTGTCTACAAGAGCTAGTTCCAGGACAGGCTCCAAAGATACAGAGAAACTCTGTCTTGAAAAACCAATCAACCAAACAAACAAACAAACCAACCAAACGGTCTACATTTTTCTTAGGACACAGAATCTATAAATCACAGAACTCAGAAGCTTCTTTCAAATTACCTAATTCATCCACACTTTGCTTTTAGGAAAGTTTAAGCTAAATAAATTCAGACATTGAATATTTTATATCTTCAAGGAACTCCACAAAAGACAAACTCACAGGTTCCACAATCACTAGAACTGAGCTTTGTGTTTCCCATGATTATCATAGTTAATTAAGAGAAACGCACATAACAACCTGATAGTCACTTGACTGCTCTCTTCAGATAGAAGAACCACTCTTCATTTGATTACGTCATCTACTTTATCACCAACAAAGTAGCCAGTTACAGAATGTGTTTAATAGCAAAATCACCAGCAATAACTTCATGAGAAACAGAGGGGACAAAATGAGATGAAATTAGAGCAAGAAAATTACTGCCCAGCTCCAGAGAGATAAATCCTTCAGCTAGTCTCTTGAGCACATGACTGAAAACTATTCAAGCAAATATGGCTTCAGGACCTGTTCTGGAAGCATGAAGAACAGAAAGTCTGCCAAACATACAAACAGCAGTTTAGAGAAAAGCAGCAAGATAACTTGCTAAGTAGCTGAGAATGATCTTGAATTCCAGATCTTTCTCTACTTCCAATACCTCTTGTGTACTGGGACTGCAGCTGTGAAACAGACAGACACCTTACTGGTTTTTGTTATTGCTGTTTTTCAGGGCGGGGGGTGGGGGGCTTGATCTCTCATTCTACAACCCAAGCTAGCCTAGAACTTTCAGTGATCCCTTTGCTTCACCTCCCAAGGGCTGAAATTACAAATGGGAACCATCACATCTGGTTACTTTGTATATATGTTTAAGATTTATTTTTACTTATGTGCATGTGTTTTGAGCTCTGTACGTATGTATGTATGTACATGTACATAAGGTTAGAAGAGGGAGCTGGCTCCCCCCAGACTGGAGTTCCAGGTAGTTGTGAGTTACCTGACTTGGGTACTAGAAACTAAACTACAGTTCTTTCCAAGTACTTTACTGTTTGCTCAGCCACATCTGCACTCCCTACTTGCATACTTTAAGTAGTCTTCAGTTATTTATGATGATGATGATGTGTGTATAGGGGAGGAGTACATGTGCCACAGTGTGTGTGTGTGTGTGTGTGTGTGTGTGTGTGTGTAGGTCGGAGGACACTTTGGGGAACCTTCCACATTTAGGCAGGTTCTGAGTATTGAACAGAGGTTATCAGGACTTCATGGCAAACATATAAATGCATACAGCTCTACTTTATAAATTTTTAAATGTTCTTAAAATCTAAAGAAACAAGAGCTACAATGAAGATCCAAACGAAGTAGAATTGAGGTGTTAGCACAAGTCTTCAATCCCTGCACATGGGAGGCACGAGCAGGCAGATCTCTGGGTTTGAGGCCAGTCTACAGAGCCAATTCCAGAAAAGCCAGAGCTACACAGAGACCCTGTCTCAAACAACAAAAAACAAACAGCAGTACCAAGTTTCCTGCAATTCTGTAGTAGATGTTGATTGCCTATGAACAGAGAGCTGGCCATCTGCCAGAATCACAGCTATTCTGGAACATGCACGCCTGCCTGAAATCCTAGATCAATGGCAGATGGCTGTCTTATACAATGAAAGGAGATCAGTTACTATTGCTTTATGTCCCTTGAATAAGCTCAACAGCAAGGGATGAAACCCACAGCTAGAACTGCTATACTCTAAACAGGAATTCTCATTTCAGCCTTTCCTTCCTGCCTTCTTCCATCTTCTATCCTTCCTTTGATCCCAGGACCCCACCTATATTATAGTGGCACTCTACAACTGAGATATAACCCCAACCCCAAATTCTATTTTTTATATTGCCCACACAAAGCGGAATAAAGCCTAATAAAGGCAACTGAAGAAAAAGTGAAATGTCTGTCAATGGTATTACTAATGTTATAGAAACATATCTATATAGACCAAAGTGGTAAGAATGTGATAGAAGAAATCTAGACAGAAAGCCTCAAAAGAAGCCTTGAAAAATAATGTCAAAAATATAGTAGTAAAACAGAAATTTAAAGGTGCAAGTTTTTACATTATTTTGGGGTGGTTTTTTTCCCCAAATGTTATTTTGTTTGTTTTTAGCTTATTGAAACAGGGTCTCACTGTACTTACTATATAGTTCAGGCAGGCCTCAAACTTAAAATACTCCTACCTCCGCTTCGACAGTGCTGGAATTACCAGGGGCCACTAGCACACTTTGTTTTAAGTGTTTTGAGGAGTATTTCTTCTTGTTCAGTAGCTTGTGTAGGAGGTCCTTCTGTATTTGTGTTGATTTCATTGGTTAAATAAAGAAGTTGCCTTAGCCTTTTAATAGGGCAGCCCTTAGGTAGGTGGAGTAGACAGAACAGAATGTTGGGAAGAAGGGAAGTGTGGCAGACACCATGCATCTCCTACCCGAGACGGATGTTGGTTAGACTCATGCCGGTAAGCCATGACCTCATGGTGAACACAGATTAATAGAAATGGGTTAATCAAGATGTGAGAGTTAGCCAATAAGAGGCTAGTGCTAAAAGGGCCAGGCAGCGTTTAAATGAATACAGTTTCTGTGTAATTATTTCGGGGTTAAGCTAGCCGGACGGTGGGACACAGCCCGCTGCTCTCCTTACTACAAGTAGCCTCAGATAATTAAAGATTATTCTGTGTAAAAAAGAAGTCAAACCACAAATGCACTAGAGTATACCTTCCCAGAACTAAATTTCTTTACAAAAAACAAGTAGATAAACCCTTACTTGATCATCTTAAAAGATATTTGACCTGCATCACTACATGTGCTCTTTCTTTGTTTCTCTCTCTCTTCTTTTTTTTTTTTTTTTGTTTTTTGTTTTTGTTTTTTTGAGACAGGGTTTTTCTGTTGCTTTGGAGCTTGTCCTTGAACTTGCTCTGTAGACCAGGCTGGCCTCGAACTCACAAAGATTCACCTGTCTCTGCCTCCCGAGTGCTGGGATTAGAGGTGTGCGCCACCACTACCTAGCCATTCTACTTTATTCATTACCTGCTCTATTTCTTCAAGAATTCTAAGTCAAAGACAAAAAGAAACAAGTATAGTTGCACAATAATCCCAGCACCGAGGGCGCTGAAACACAAGAGCTGCCATAAATTTACAATCAGTCTGGCTACCCATTGAGAACTGGGTCATTCAGGGCTGAAAAGTGAGCCTATCTCAACAAAACAAAACAAAAAAACCAGCAGGCATGTGTGTGCTGGTGACATAGGTTGGTGGTAGAGTGCTTGTCTAGCATACATGAAGTCCTAGATTCAAGCTCTATTACAACAACAAACAACAAAAATAACCCCAAACCCAAACATAGTGGCACAAACATGAAGTTTCAGCACTTGAAAGGAAGCAGGAGGATCAGGATACCTCAGGTATACATTGAGTTTGAGTTTAAGGCCAGCGTGAGTTACAGGAAACGCCTCAAAAAGGGGAACAGAGCCCAGAGAGTTCCAAAGGCGCCGTTTGTCCTAAGTCCTGATACTCGTCCTCTCCTTTGTAGAAAAACTAATATGGCAACTGCTACTCTTTCAGAAAAGAACCCTAACAACCCACAAATTGACAAGCTAAAGAAGATAAAAAGACTAAGTAAGGCTATAGGGAATGTTTTGTGGGTGTTTTGTTTGTTTCTTGAAATAGGGTCTCAAGGCACAGAACAGCCTCTAAGTAGGTGTATATCTTACCCACCCCTTGATGTGGGATTCCCCTCTGAATGCTGTGAATACTGTTGGTTAATAAAGAAGCTGTTTCAGCCAATGGCTTAGCAGAACAGAGGTAGGTGGGGAAAACTAAACTGAATGCTGGGAGAAAGAAGGCAGAGTCAGAGGAAGCGAAGTAGCCCTGACGGAGACAGACACTGGAACTTTACAAGGTAAGCCACAGCCTAATGGCAATACACAGATTAATAGAGAAGTGTTAATTTAAGATATGAGTTAGCCAGAAATATGCTTAAGCGATTGGCCAAACAGTATTGCAAATAATATGGTTTCTATGTCATGATTTCAGGGCTGAAGAGCAGGGAACAAACAAGCGGCCTCCTACAACAACCCCTCCTCCCCAAATTATTGGGATTACAGGCATGCAGCATTATAAATAGTTTGACAACATTTTGTTTAGTTGAGGCAGGGTCTCACTGTGTAGCCCTGGCTGACCTGGAACTCACTATGAAGACCAGTCTGGCCTTGAACTTACAATGAACTTACATGCTTTTGCCTTAAACTCAAACTCAATATAATCCCAAGGATGACACTGACCTCCTGATCCTTTTGCCTCCTCCTTTAAGTGGTGGAATTAAAAGCATGTGCTGAAAAGCATGTGGAGTCATACCTGGCTTAATAGGTTTTTAAAGCAATGGTTCTCAACCTATGGGTCATGACCCCTTTGGCAAACCTCCCTTTCAAAAAATATTTATGATTCATAACAGTAGAGAAATTACAGTTATGAATTAGTAATGGAAGTAATTTTATGCTTGGGGTAACTATAGTATGAGAATTGTATTAAAAGGTTGTAGTGTTAGAAAGGGTGAGAACCACTGTTTTAAAACATCAATGAGATGGTCAGACTTGGTTTTCTGTTGGTAAATAGACCAATAAATGCCATACATTTAAAAAATAGATGTCACCGAATGGTGGAATGGCATGCCTTTAATCCTAGTACTCAGGAGGCAGAGGCAGGCAGATCTCTGTGAGTTCAAGGCCAGCCTGGTGCACAGAGCTAGTTCCAGGACAGTCAGAGCTACACAGAGAAACCCTGTCTCAAAAAAAACCAATAAATAAGCCGGGTGATGGTGGCACATGCCTTTAATCCCAGCACTCGGGAGGCAGAGGCAGGTGGATCTCTGTGAGTTCGAGACCAGCCTGGTCTACAGAGCTAGTTCCAGGACAGGCTCCAAAGCCACAGAGAAACCCTGTCTCGAAACAAAACAAAACAAAAGAACAAAAATAAATAAATCAGTTAAGAGAAAAAGATGTCAAGGGGCTCAAGAGAAATGCTGACTGGTTTAGAGCACTTGTTCTTAAAGATGACCCAAGTTCAATTCCCAGCATCAGCAAATTAGTACACAAGCATCCAGTTCCAGTTTCAGGGGACTAGAACACTCTCTTCTGGCCTCCAAGGCACCAGGTATACAAACAGTGTGCACAATACAATCAATTACATTTGACTCATCTTTGCTACTGCTACAGTTAGTACCATTTATATGACATTACACAATATATAGTGCTTTATCATTATAACATCCTGATGGAGGAAAAATGACTACTTGGCATCATATACAAAGTAAAAATAGCATAAGCATTAATGTGAATGCCTACAATGGCTTTCTGTAAGATATTAGCATCAATACACAAAGACCACAAACACACACATCCTACTCACCAGTTTAATGGCTACATATTCATTGGTGTAGAGATTTTTACCTAAGGGAAAAAGAGAATGTATACATTTAGTGACATTAGCTTACAAGGTTATGAGAAAGATAGATTTTTCTAACAGGGCTGCTGTATTTGAAGACAGAGCTAAGTGAAAAGCTAAACAGATAATGAGAACCAGCAGGACTAGGACAAAAACAGCTTGAGAATCTAAATATGTAAGCTACACAAGAGACTCTTGTTTCTTTTAAAATGGAGAAAACCAACCAAATCTACCTCCTCTTCTCTCCCTTATGCACCCCACATACATGCAACCTTATTACTTCTTAGTTATTATGGCATAAAGTGGGCTACGAAGAAACGCCACAGTTTCAAAGATAGAAATTTAAATTTGGAGGCTGGAGGTAGGAGAATCAGGAATTCAAGGTCATCCTTGGCCACACACTGAGTTTAAGGCCAGTTTGGGCTGCACGATCTCTTGTCTCAAATCTCCCCTGACCTCTCTATCAGTAGTTAAGAGGTAGGACGAAATGAAAGATTTAATGTTTCGGGTGAACCAAGGTGGTGATCATGTGCAACCAAGGAATGAACCTAGTTACCGCTGTAAACATGAAGAGAAAATAATTAATATAGATGACAGAAGAATCAAGGAAGTTTCAGGAGTTGAGTTTTCTCCCTTTGCCTTCCCTCTTCTACAAAGACACAAAGAACAAGCTGCTGGAGAATGGGTAAGATCATTTCAGGAAGAAGAAACTGCAAAAGTAAACAAAAATAAAGCAGGAGATACTACAGGCAGATAGTGGCACAGAGTGTGGGGCTGTAAGTTATTTAATGAATATTGGAAAGGGTTGAAGACTGACAAGGAGCAGTGAAAGCAAAAACTGGGAAAGGCTATGGATGTATTGGAAAAAGCTTAATACCATTCTAGGTTTAAAACAGATGATTTGGAAGTAATCTCATCAACAGATCTATGACTCTGAATGACTATATATGGAGCAGCATAAACATGAACTAGAAAAGCAAGAGCAGAAGTAAGGGAATACATCTGAATGTCTTAATATCTAGCATATACTAACATCGTCGGTTCAACTAAATCACACTCAGTTCTTGAACTTCAGAGAACATAACCTAGCTCTTCACATAGTCCTGTGTATCTGATTAAAACCTCAGCCAATAAATTATAAAATGTGATGTTAAGACAAAAATATGAATGAGTACATAAAAGAGTCTGAATAATAGAGAAAGTACATTTGGGTACAAACAGTATTTCAAGTCAGAAAGTGGTCTGAAGAATAAAGGTCACTTTTTTTGTTTAAGTTAAAAAAAAAAATCCAGGTTGGATAGGGTGACATACCATTAACCCCAGGAGTGGGGTAGGCAGTAGGCAGGTGGATCTCTGTGAGTTCAAGGTCAGTTTGGTCTACATTAGCAGTTCCAGGCCAAGTAGAACTATATTAGACCCTATCCTATCTCAAAAAAAAAGAAAAAAGAAAGAAAAAAAACTTCTAATTCATTTGATCACAAGCATCAAAAAAAGGCCCACAATTTTTTTAAAAAAGTTTTTAATATTATAAACTCATTTTAATATGAATATATTTCTTTAACTCTACAAGTAAAAAAAAGTTTTCGAGAACAATGTGTCCTATTTGTTCGGCAGCTTAGTAAACAGAGGCCTTGATCTATCACAATATACTCTTGGGTGTGTGCACTGCAGAAAAGGAACACATATGCAAGGCTATCCACAGGTTGTGTCTAATAAACCTTTCTGGCTTTTTACCACTTCTTCTCATGCATCATATTCTCTAGTTGTTTTGAGTCCAGTCAGAATACCAGACTGAGCTGGGCGGTGGTAGTGCTTGCCTTTAATCCCAGCACTCAGGAGGAAGAGGCAGGCAGATCTCTGTGAGTTTGAGGCCAGTCTGGTCTACAAGAGCTAGTTCCAGGACAGGCTCCAAAGCCATAGAGAAACCCTGTCTTGAAAAACAAAACAAACAATCAACAAACAAACAAACAAACCAGAATACCAGACTGCATTTAGGGGCATTTCCTCTTGTTTTTAGTGTGTGTGTATTTTGTGATACTGGGGATAGAATTCAGGGTCTTCCACATGCTGGGCATGCCCTGTGCTACTACTGAACATCCCCAGCCTGAAAAAAAATTTTTTTCCTTCAGATATTTTTTAGGGAGGCACAGGGTCTCATTATGTAGCATCGAGCAGCCTGGAGCTGGTTTTTTATATAAGGGTCAAGAAGTTTAATAACAAATGAACATCTAGTTTCTAGAAAAGTGAAATGTCATTTCTTCTTTTTTTTTAAAGACAGTATCTCATTATATAGCCCTTGACAGTCTTCCTGGCCATCTAGACCAGGGTGGCCTTCAACTCAAGATCCATATGTCTTAGCCTCCCAAAAGTGGTAGGATTAAAGGCATATACAATCATACCCCTCTCTATCTATCTATCTATCTATCTATCTATCTATCTATCTATCTATCTATCTATCTATCTATCCATCCATCCATCCATCCATCCATCCATCCATGTTTGGAAACAGGCTCTCAAAATGTAGTCCAGGCTAGCCTTGAATTCATAACAATCTTCCTGCCTCAGTCTCTGAAGAGCAACGAGACAGGTATATGCCAGGTTTGTTATATATATATATATTTCTTTTTACCTTAGGGAAGTGGTGTGTTTCCTAAGGACAAGAATGTTTAGAGTCTCTCTCTCTCTCTCCTCTCTCTCTCTCTCTCTCTCTCTCTCTCTCTCTCTCTCTCTCTCTCTCTCTCTCTCTTTCTCTATGTGTGTGGGGGGGGAAGGGAGAGATAAGCATGTGTGTGCACACTGAGGATTAAATTCAGAGCCTTATCTGTTAGGCTTGGTAAATATTCTATCATTAAGCTACATCCCTAACCATAAATGCTTCTTATATCCCCAGCAACTAATGCAGTATCTGACATAGAGTAACAGATGTTTGCTAAAGTGAAGCAAATTGACTTGGTCCTAGCTGTGGGTCCAATGACTATGAGGAGATTGGATCAGGAAAGGCTGACTTGAATTAGTCAGTCTATGGATTAGTTCACTGGTGGATTCATAATTTGATGGCACTATTGACAGATAATAAAAACTAGCATATGGGGCCTGATAAAAGGAAGTCAATCACCAGAACATAGTTTTGAATGGTTTATCTAGTTTGTGGAATCTTTTTCTCTCTCTCTTTCTTCCAGACCCAATGGTGCACAGCTCTGCTGTACTATACCATTTACACATATGTTTCGCCTCACCACCAGCCTATAGCAACAAACCCAGGGAATCAAGAACTGAAGCATCTGGAACCATGAACTAGATAAAGTCTCCTCCTGTGTGCTCTTTATGAGAAACTGACATATGGGTTGAGAACTGCTGACCTATGCTATGGTATGCTTTAACCCTGTCCCTCCAGTGTCTAATGGGGAAGTTGTAGAATCTCTGAGGTAGGATTTATTGAGATCGTTAGATCATTGAGGGAATAATTGTGGAAAGTAGTTTACACAAGAGTCTTGGAAGTTCTCATAAGGATGGTTACATAAAACTGTTAGCTTCTTCATCAACTCTAGCCACTGCCATATGGGAGGCAGTTAGGGGGTCGAGGCATTGAACCTCTACTATGCTATTTATACTTTTAGTCTCTGAAACTGTTACCTAAATGAAGGTCTTTTTTCCCCCCTTTTTCCTTTTTCTCCACAAATATCCATATCAGGTATTTTGTCATAGTAATAGAAATCTAACTAATATATCTCACCAGGTGTCAGATACTTGAATTAACTTCTTAAGGAACTACCAGACTGTCTTCCAAAGTAGCTGTGCCATTTTCCTCTCTCAATATCATTGTATAAGTGGTCCAATTTCTACATATTCTTCCCAGCAAACAGTAATTCTTACTACAGTTGGTGGGTATGAAGAAACAGTTTTCATCTGTATTTCCCAATGACTAAAGAAACTCAACAGTTTGTGTGCTTATCCTCTAATCTCTCTGGAGAAAAGTATATTCAAATTCTTTGTTCATCTTTTCAAAAGATTTATTTTTAATTATGTGTGTGTGTGAATGTACATATGCTAGCACCAGAGGCATTGGATCCCTGAAGCTAAAGTTACAGGGGGCTGTGAGCTACCCAAAATGGGTACAGGAAACTCAAGTCCACAGGAGGAGGTGTGCTCTGAAGTGCTGCTCAATTGGCTTTGTTAATTTTTAATCTGGGTCATCTTTTTATTTATTGCTGAGTTTGAGAAGAGCTCTTTATATGTTTCTGAAAAATCCCTTTACTGATTATTCAATTTGCCAGTATTTTTCTTGTCCTATTACTTGAGTTGCCTTTTTACTTTCCTCTTTTTAAAATAATAGTAACAATAAGAAAACATATCATGGTGCTGTGTGGAGGTCAGAAACAACTTTCAGGAACTGGTTCTCGTGGTGAGCCCACAAGTATTATCACAGTAAATGCACAGCTGATAGATCTACTGAACTAATCCACAGGAGAAACCCATTTCAACAGAGCTGCGGGAACACCTGTCTTTTGGACAAGCCATTGTCCATTCTGTAGAAATCTTGTGAAATCATGGCATTTCTCCCTTCCATAATATCCCAGTAATGTATAAACCTGACTTTTCCTATAGGGCAACTGGATACCTTCCCGACACAGAGAAGTTCTATTGTGAAAGCATTCACTAGGTCAAACCTTTGTTCTCATAGCCATAATCTACATAAAACTAGTCCCCCACAACCTTCTTTATTGAAAGAACTCACTGATAAGAAAAGAGCCCTAAACAGGAGGCAATATGTCTGCTCTAACAGCAGACGCAGGAAGGTGGAATCTACTGGTCTTCTGCTCTAACTTAACAAACTACTAATATTCTGTATTTACCCTTCACCATGGTTTCAAATAACATAAGCTCACAGCCCAGGAAATTAACTGCTTATACAGGAAAAATGCCTGAGTCACTAAAACTAGCTTCAGAGAGGAAAATTCTCACTTGGGCACCCTGCTGGAGTCAAAAGCAAAGTTCCCAAAAGAGA